AACATGAAATGCGTGGGGGCGTGAGCACTAAAACACTTGTGCTCCGCAGAAACTCATACTAATGTAAACATTGTAAATAATAACAATATCATGATCTAAGCATATATAACTGAACTGAAACTGAAACTGAAACTGATATCTGATACCGGTCTGATCTCGCGACCTAAGTCACGTAATTGATAACTGAATATCTGTCGGCACAAACTAATACCGCAATCTGCCGGCACAAACTAATACTGGACCATGTGCACACTCTAGTGGTAGATTAGACCACTAGAACCCAGAATGGACCGGCGACCATTCCGAGCGGATACTGAATATACATACCTCGAACAAGGTAGCGTAATTATAAACAATGTAGTACTTAGTCTGAGTCCCCACCTGAACTGCTGAAACTGAACGGTAGTGCTGATGCCTGATCAAACTGAAAATAATATAAACAATTACTATTAGCTATGCTCAGACTGATAATTTAACTGTTTAATTATGTTAAGATGCTCTACTGAACCTGATATGATATTCGGACTTAATCGGTATAACTGAAACCGGCTAAGTACGAAACTGATCTGACATAAATTAATTAAGCTGAACTGAACCCGGAATTTTAACTGAAAATGACACTAAAATTGAGAACTGGGACTAAAACTGATAAGTACTGACTGAACCTAAAAATACAAAGTGCTCAAGGGATTGAACTTGACAAGCAACAAACATGCGTACGGCCCGTGGTGCGCACTATATGTGCGACCACATCCCCTCGGCCGAAACACCGCAAAACATGACTAATCATCCGAACACTTAAGCTAATCTAAACATGATATTGCATATAAAGACTAAACATACGAAGATTGTTCGGAAAATTCAACTTAAAACATGACATGATCTACTTGCGTTCTTCGCACGGTGAACACGCAGCATGCGTGAGATATGAACATGAACTTAATTTACTTTAGGAACGAAGCCTGATGATATAAACCATAGCAACACGAGAGCTGAACTACCTCTTTGCTGGCTTGGTGTTCGCGGGTGCGTGTGTATGCTCGGCCTTCTCTCGGTGTGGCGTGCGGCGTGCGATGCGATGCTACGCGTACGTGAATACTAAGCGTGCGGTTGCTTCGGTACTAAGCTTATGAACACAACTCCCTCTCTCACTTTAATACATATGCTGAACTTATAAGGAGTAGTATACGGCTGAACTATGATGAACATATATGTAGAGAAAGATGGAAATTTTTCATCAAAATCCCCTTCATATATATAACTGAATGGGGTATAGTGATGAGGTGAGGATGTGGTTATCTTGGCTAATGACACTTGAAGATAAAATAAAGATTAATGGATGACTAATGACCTATTTAAGCCCACAAAATGACACGTATAAAATGCTCAAGATTGGGCAAAATTATTCCTTAGGCTTAAGGAATTTTTGGACGGCATTTACGACTTAATGGAAAGAATTTTGTACAAACAAAATTCGTACGGCTTATTTAGTTTGGAAAGAAAATTCCACATGGCTTAGCACTTAACTAATGTGATTAATTAATAATTAATCACATCCTTTATGTTTAATCTTTAATTAAACATAATGCTTAATTACCAAAATTATTCCGAACGTAAACTGTACGTCGAAAATAATTTCCGGTAATTTCAACTGAAATGACTGAAAATAATTAATTCCAAAAATTAATATCGAAACTAAAAACATAACTTATACTGATAAACTGACGTGATATTACAGTACGACACTAGACTTAGGATGCGCATGAATTTAGCTTGGTACTTAGTCACTTAGAAAATTACTTATATCATGATATATGTACTTAAATACTTAGTCTATTTTTTTGTGTATAAGTACGATTAAACTTGGATTAATCTTGATCGAACTTATATAATTTCGGTCGTAACTTGACTTCAAAAATTATTTCAAATATTATATCGACTTAACTTTACTATTTCCAACTCATTTACTATATAAATGAATAGGAATTATTTTTGAAATTTTATTCGGTTACTAAAATAATTAAACCGAATAAATTATTGACTAATAGTCGAACTTGGAATTTAACTAGCTGATTGACCTGAACTTGAACATGAACATGATTATTCAGTAACAACAGCTAGCTTAACATAAAAAGCTAGTATTTTACTTTATTACTACAACTCGGGGTGTTACAATCCACCCTCCTTAAAATATTTCCGTCCTCGAAAATACTAAAATTGGACGTACAAGCTTAACATAAAGCTTATACTTACTGATTACATGACTTGAGAATTTAGTATTTTTAATACCGAACAATAGACTTGATCTGAACTGGAGAATCCTCAACTCATAATTAAGTGAATTGTTGATTACTACTGGCTGAGAATGGATACTTTCCTGAAATAAAGTTTTTCTGCTGATTATACATGATATTAAAAACATGCTTCTTGAGCGTAGTCTGGTCTTTATTTCTTGGATGATTGCTGATCTTCGGTCTGAACGTTGGTTGTAGAAAACCCCAGTCGTTGGTACACATGGAAAATTCAGAGATACGCACATGTACAAATGAGGATAACTATTAATATCGGTAATTACCTTTCGTGAACATCTACTCGATTGTTAGAGGTATGCTGTAAAAGCTGTGTTTTGCAGTT